AGTTCCGGAAGGTGGGACCCTTTGTTTAGTAATTTTCCTCTTCTTTAAGGATCAAATTTCGCATATCTTCAATATTTTCCGATATATTTGCAGAAAACTAATCCCCCCCTTATTTTTACTAAATTGTTTATAACTTTTGCAATTTTTTCGTGCCCCTCTTGAAATTTTTCAAAAAGTTGCTATAGGTCCTGGATTATAATTTTCAGTGCCCTTGAACAGGAGTTCCAAAAAAAGGATCTTGTGACCCAGACTTTTGTGTCGCGAATAGATCTTCAGAAGAGAGTTATTCAAATCGAGTATATTCCATTGTTAACTATTCCAATTAGAAAAGAGGAATATTTTTCAACCCTTCTTGAGGCCAAATGAAGTCGTAATCCAAAATCTCTTCACCGTTTTTCGATGTACATAAATGAAAAACGCCTAGAAATTAATAAAAAAAAATATTTAATATCTATTAAACGGTTCGAAATGCTCAAATTTGTTGTTAATATCATCGCTCATTATATTACTCAGAGTAAACAATGGTGTATACTGATTTTGAGTAACCGTTTATATTTTTCTGTTATCAACTGAAAACATGTGGTTATCAAATCGTTAAAGAATTATGAGTACAGATAAAATGAAATTAATGAATTTTCAGGGATATCTCTCGCACCATCTACACGAAAGGTACAATTACAAGGTCTTAGGCTTAGAATGTTCTGAAGAATACGTAAACTTAGCATACAAAAATCAAAACAAATTCCACCCTTCATCAAAAGGTCGAGTAAATTTTTTCCAACACTTCATAAATGAAGATTCGGCTGATACAATCACTAAATTAGCCAATCAAGAATTCTCTAACCTTGAATATGGATCATGCTGTATAGTGGGACTTCACGCATGCGCAGATCTGAGCATCACAATATTGGATTTGTTTTCAAAATTGTACTTTGTTAAAAGTATAGTGATCATGCCGTGCTGCTACCACAGGATAAAATCGACTGATGAAGACGAGTCACAAGAACATTTTGTGAATTTTCCATCGAGTAAGGTGTTATCCTGCCTGTTTTCAGAATTTGAAGCTTCAAAATTCATGAGAAGGCCTTTTTTAAGATTAGCTTGTCAACTGACCATTCGAAGTTTTGTTAAAGTGACTGAAGAGGAAAATGAAATACTTTCAAGAAGGTTTTTGTTCAGGGCAATTTTGGAAGATGTTGCAGTGTCAGGTGAGATATAAAAATGTTCGCTAACAGTATTCAATAGAAATTTATCTATTATATTTGACAAAACATATAAGTAGATGAACAAACTTGTTCCTAGCTCAAAATCTCAAGTATATTCTTATGGCGCTATATTTTTTACAATTTACATAACATCCGATCGGAACCGTGTGGAACCCTCAACTCGAGGTACGTGCGTTTCGGAAAGTGGGAGAGAGAAACGTGTGACGTAATTGATGCAGAGAAGCATGGAATGAGTATCGGAGAGATTCAAAGAGCGTGGGCACCCTGGGACCCCGCCTCACCCCTCGGGATCTTAAAAGAGAGTACTTGGTTTTTCTCTGCATATTATAAAATAAAGTCCCCTATCGTGTCTATCAGTCTGTTAATGTGTCTGTCTGTCTGTCTGAACTCAAAAATTATCAAAGTAACTGAAGGAACAATTCGTTCAGGCCAGTCTTGACTTACCTACGCTGTAGGTTAAAGGACTGACACCTATCAGAATACAACTACTCCCCTGGCTGATACCAAGAAGGGCCTTGGATTTTATCCGACAGGTCTCAGTGGAGAAATCTTCACTGAAGTATTTCCTGCATATGCTGTTGGCGATACAACTGCTGGAATCTATTTTCAATTATAGGGAACAGGCACACTTGCAGACCGGTTTTAGTTAAATTTAGATTAGGAAAGATAGGAGTAACAGCTGACATTGAGAAAGCATTTCTACTCTGATCACTGTTACTGAAAGGGATCGGGATTTTCTGAGATTTTTTTAGTGGCAAGATGATTCATATGAAAAAAATAAAATTTTTTAGGCATCGTCGAGTAGTTTTTGGGTTGGAATGTAATCCATTCCTTTTAGCTGCAACTATTAACTACCATTTATCCTGATTACCTCCAGAATTCCAAGGCACAGCTAATTTGTTGAATGTAGATAACTGTTTATGTAGTTTTGATTCTGAAAAAGAAAGGAAAATCAAGACGGAGATAACAATAACACGTACAATGAAAATGTAACAAGGAAAAGATGAAGGTGTAGAAAATAAATATGAAATAAAAAGTAATTACGAGAAAAGTCAGAAATGAAGTATTCTAATAGGGCTTACTTAGACGACACAGTCGTCTGAATCATCATATGCAGAGACTGTCGGAAAAAATATTTGTTTTTGATGATACAGTAGAGCGTATACTGCCCCGCTGCGGGGCAGGAACAAAGTATGCGAATCAGGTTTACAGAGTTTCACTCTTACCAACTGAACTGGAAGATCACTCCCATATAAGCTAATCATCTTTTTTCGAGAAGCTGGATTTATTTAGTCGAGTTTGAATAGGTGTGAGCCACAATCAACCCTTGCGGGTTGCAGTTGTGGCTCGCACAGACCCACTCACTTTGGACTCAACCCAATCAGGCTGTCAAAAACCAAAATTAGGACCTGTGAAAACTATTGTGGAAAACAAGATTGTGGGAATGGATCTTATGGAAACAGGAAGAATTATAGCATTAGACTCACGAATTCCCCACAAACTTGAAGGATATAGACAATCAGACGGTTCTCAATCAGAAACAAATTCTCAACACTAGCATATGAGCCATTACAACTATAATTTTCACAAATCATCCTAATTCGAGGAACAAATCGAATCCCAGAAACTTTTTCGGGGATATTTGACGTAAGAGTTTTAGAGGACTCATTCGAAGTTCTACCTCGAGAACCACACCGAGGTCCCAATAGACGACCAACTAGAAGCCCACCTCTAACATCCCCCAGGGTCGCGGACTCTTCGCGGGGGTTTCTCATAGCTTCCGCCATAAAGCTCTCTACTAGTCATCGAGCTCAGACCAGAAGGGGCCAGTATTGACTTTGTCTATCTACCCCCCTCTAGTACCTCTTTCAATAAACGTTAGCTTGTCAACATCATCCAAAAATCGTGAATCCTGAATTTTTAAACAACTTGCATTATTTGCAATGTTAAGTTCAATCTGTTGACATTTATTCTGTTAATAACAAAAATAGAAAATAAAGAATTTATAATTTTCACAATAGGGCAAAAAGTTGATACAATTATCTCAGTTTGGTGATATTTTGGGTAAACTATTTCCAGTTTTACAAATTTTCGGTGTCCTCCACCATTCATCCACATCACTATACACTTTTTGTGCGACTGGTTCGTTAAGTTTTTCACAAAGTTGGCACAACGAAAGTTTGTTGCTTGTACTCACAACGTAGGTTTTCTTCCACTCGAAATACCTCAAATATTCTGCTGCATCTTCATCCAATTTTCTTATGTGTTTCGCTAGTTCTTTTATACTCTTATATTCTAGCACGTTTATCACAGAATGCGGTGGGGCGATTACTTCATAGTCAGCATCCCCGTACACAATAGGAACTAAATTATATTTCAGAATGTTGAATAACTTTTCTGTGACGTAGTCTTTGCACAGAGAGTTTTCGAACGACAAGTAAAATTTATAGTGTTTTTCTAAAAATTTATAACATCCGTCAGCGTCCTTTTTAGAACAAGTTAGATTCCCACAAGCTCCGTATACGTCAACTTGTACGAATTTACTTATTTTTCGGTACAGATCTTCTCTTAAGCTAGAAGCTATACAGTTGGAAACCAACCAAGCGATTTTTTTCCTTTTGTTTTTTATTTCTCCCATCGAAGGTGGGTAGTAGTCGGTTGTGGAGGCTTCAAAGAAACCATAAGGACGGATAACATCCGAGTCAGACCTGAAAATAACAATTAAACGTTAACTTTTACTATTGTTATTATATATTTTCAAGAAATGAAACAATAGAAAAGGAACGCAAATGTCAAAAAGGCAGTTTCAACAAGGACAAATTGATTGTTTTTAATATTCTGGTGAAAGTGGTTATAAAAGATAAGATAGAACCGAACTTCTGATAGTTCAACTGCTAAAAACTCAAATTGATGCAAAAAGTAATTCAGTTTCAGTGGAAGATCTCGTACGTTTCCGGGAAGACGGGTTTTCACCACATTATGTTCTTTATGCCTGACTGGTTGAAAGATAGATTTCTGGATAGATGAGTTTGCCTCCAAAATCATCAAATACAACTCTCCCTTTGGCGACATCTAATATCCATCGTTCATATTCAAAGGGTATATTTCTAGGAAAGATTAATTTCTTGGGAAAGAAAGGTTTTGGCTTTCTACTTCTCCATCGTGATACAAAAAATGTGGAAATCTTCCAAAAAAAGGAAGGAAGCAATCAGTTAACAAAATAACTCTATTCAAAGATCTATCTATGATCCACACATCTAAAAATATTTCCTTTAAATTTAAAGAGTATTCCTTTGGCTGGGATTCAATCAAATAAGGAAATGAATGTTATTTACGTACTGTTATCGGTGAAATGGGTAGCTTTGACCCATTCCGTGACAAAATGTCCTAATTTTATGAAAGAATTGAGTGATTTTTTCAATTATGTTATTCGTATTTGGTACTGAAGAGCCAATAAGACAAGTGTCTTCGGCGAAACATCCGGGTGTCTACGTGAGGATGGCAGTGTTTCATGTAAGTGAAATTTTACTTCTTTCATCAGTTATAGTGTGTAGGAATCCTGCGAATAACATCTGATTCGATTCCATTACGAATGTTTGTTATACAAACTGGAATACATAAAATGTTTTTCGTATAATTCAGCACTCATATAAAAGTATTTGTTTCAAAAGTATTTTTGTTTTTTCGTGTAATTCAATATTTATATGAAAATAGCTGTTTTGGAAAGGCTTTTTCTTTTTTATTAGTCAGTGGGCTATGCTTGAAGACTGGCAGTAAACAAATATAAAGAAATGAACTTTAAACGTTCAAGCCAGTCTCGGATATACCTAGACAGTAGGTTGAATGGACTGACGCCACGAATGGTGTTGCGCCTTTCGTGGTATTAGCCAAGGGAGTAGTCGTTTTCTGATAGGCGTCGGTCCATTCAACCTACTGTGCAGGTATATCCGAAACTGGCTTGGATGTTTAAAGTTCATTTCTTAAGGGCTTTTTCTTTCAATGAATTATTGGATGTGGTAGGACGAAACTGCGGTAATGCTAGTTAACAAATAAAAGTGGTAAAAAACATAGAAAGTGTCAATTCTCATTTTTCATGATCTTGATCTTTCAGTTTATGTCTGAAAGTTACTTCTTTGCATGATGTACCCATCTATGTTTAGAGTTAATTATTGAAATTGATTGCTTCCTTCCTTTCTTTGAAAGATTCTCATATGTTTTTAACACGATGGAGAAGTAGAAAGCCAAAATATCTCTTTCCCAAAATGGCACATTATAGTAGCCTGCCGGTCAATTTCTGGTGAAGTCTTAAGAAATGTTATCGGGGAGTTCTAAAACTGACTTATGATTGTTTGGAGCCTATTGTATAATAATTCAAACAGTTTATGACATAGTGCGTGAATTTTCTGCTTTATTCAAATTTTTTCATAGCAAAGTAATTTCGAAACAGTGAAAGAACCGTCAAAGAAAAAATCAATCAACTTTCTTCCAAATACTCAAGGGTTGGGACTGTGCTACCTGATCTTATAACCAATTTCAGTAGAACCAAACTCAATACTTCTGTTCAAGTAATAATCTGAAAATCCCTATTCTCATTGAAAAACAGTTGAATCGCTATTTTTTTATTCACTCCTCTAAAAGCAAAATATATTGTAGTTTTTTGGTGAACAACCCTTCGATATGATATGCCACTTTGATCCTCCCGTTTGAAAATCCTAAGGGACACATACACCTTTCCTAAGAGGTTGAACCACACCAATGACCACTCCCCACACTATGTGGTGAGTGTTCATCGTGTCCGGTCAATATTTCTGACGTATGTATGATATTGAGTAAGGATGACATCATTTCTCCAATGGAATAACCATTTCAACAGAATGTTCTTGGTAGAGACTACGGAGCTGAAGAGAAGATCTCGATATTCAATCAATATTTTCTCCACTTTTCGTACGATACTCGTCTCATCATGAGCTGAAAACTCCATGACAGATGTCTTACTTGATTGATGATGATGTCGATGAAGATACAAAAGTAAACGGCATTCCTGTTGTCAAGGAAATATAAAGATATAATTTGGTTACATTTTATGAGCAACATGTACTCAAGGTATTTCACAAAGATGCAAGATGATCTCATGCGATGTTGTATCAAATACCTTGCGGTAATCGATCCAGGCCATAGAAAGGTTATGTACTAATACATCAGTCGATGAGGACCTTCTGCTTGCATCGAGCTTGCTATCCTTCTTTTCGATCCTCTCTGCTTTAATATTCATATGTATCACCCAGGTTATCGCTCTATTATTCTTTGGAAGGGTGGAGAAAAGAGAATCAGATATAAGTACATACAGGAAGATGTTTGTACTTGAATTCCACTATGTTTCGGGTGATAGTTGTATCAACAGCACTAAATTAAGCCAACATGATGGAAATGTTTGAACGAAATTTACGTTATCAAATCAAAACTTGGAATATCCATCAAGTGCTTGATATCAAGCATTCATACTGATTTTGAAATGAATTTTACAATGATTCTCACCAAAAACATTATATAAAACGGTATACTATAAAAACATGTTTTGTTCATAAAACCAGTTTCTGTGAAAAGAATCACCACGCAATATTTCTCAACATTTCCGATGTTGTTCCACAAAAGGTTACTGACATTAATCAGCAGAGGATGCGGTGACATTTTCAGTAGTAAACGTGATTCTCTTTCCTTTCCTCGAATTGATGATATTTTTTCATTGGCGTTTATTGCAGGTGATGGATAATTTTATGTAATCGACTGTCGTCTAGAGATTTTACTTGAATACGTTCATCGTCGATTCAAATTCAAGGAACGAGAAAATTATATATTTTTTGGTTACGACGAGTTGAGTTGTTATGTAAATATAATCTGTCACTTCCGAAACTGTCTTGGAAAATATATCAAAAACTTTTTCCCTCATTTCGATGAATTTGGTCATCTTCGATATTTGTTCATTATGTAATAAATAAATTATTGCTGGGGCTCAGTTTACATCGGAACTACCAAACGTACAAACGTAGTTGCCGTAATAAAGTACATTGAAATTGCTGCTCTATCTACTACAACGCATTACCAAACAACCCTTCATAATGGAAGCCATTGAGATATTTGAACATCCCAACATTTTCAACAAAAAGTCAGAAGAGATACGAGAGCGTGATATTCAGTTTCCGAAACATCTTACCGACAGTACATCCATCATCAACGGGAACCAACCAGATAAACTGATCACAAGTGCGAACCAATCAGGTGTAAGCATTCTTGTTGACACCCCACTCCCTAGTAGCATAAATACGAGTGAATACAGAGCTCCCCAGTCAGTCGTTGAATAAAATAAAGTCGCCAACGATTTCTCCTTCGATACCTCTTTGTCTGTTGAGTATAGTTTACCTTTAGTTTTGCCCTTTGTAGTTATACTTTACCTCAATGTCAATATATTCATGAACTTAGATTGAACTTTACCCCAAATACTATCAAACTTATTTCCTTAGATTCTCGACATCTAACACTGTATACATATAATAGTCTGAGTGCCAGCTTAAATCTGACAACACATATTTTACGGTATCTGAAATTTCATCCAGAGAGACTCCTATCCCCAGTAAACAAGCAATGGGTACTAGCTAAGCCCGGCCGCGGTAGCTTTGGGGTCCCTCAGGTGAGTCAGCTATGAAAATTAAGAAAATTTTCAAAGTATTTTACGGCCTCTAGAAAAATTGAAAAATAACTATGGCTGCTGATTTTGAAGGCTGCAACATCCCGGCAGCCACTTTTCAAAATTCGAAAAAATAAATTTTTTCGAAGTATGTTACAGATGATACCGCGATGAACATTGAATTGTATCCGACAGGCTTATTTTGGGTTATTTTTAAGCGTTGGTACATGGGATGTTTTTTCTGGCCTTTTGGGGTTTTGATAACACTATGAAGCTGTTACTACTCAATAAATTTTCCTCTCAGACGAAGGCATCATATATGCAGTTAAGCCACGTTTGAAATCGAGTCCGAGGAATACTGCTGTTTGGGACTGATTCTTTGAAAAATTATTAAACTGTTCAATGAATTTCAAAAATAAAAGCAATTCTTCATTGAAAGCTCACGTAGATCGGAGTAGTATTCACGTCATTACATTTTCATCACTGTGTAATGACGCATGTGTAATCTATGGTTGCCCCAACTGTGAGCAATTCATAAGGAAGATTCGACTGTAGCACTGTCTTCGATCGAACCTTGACATTGTTAATTAGTAGGAATGGTTAATGTGTTTTCTTCCCAGAATATGAGTGGAAATACGAGCGATTCAATTTTTTTTAATTGGACAGTTTTTTCATATTTGAAAATATCATCCATTTAATTAGCTGTGCACTATTATTTATTTGTTTTTCTTTTGACAGATAGCCACGGGCACAGCTGAGTATTTTATGAGTATCACATCCGAGATGATTACTGTAACGAAAATGTATTTTTGAAAGCTTATTATTTGTTTGTAAGTTCACTTTGAATATGTTACTCAGTAAGGGTATATTTTTGAAAGTTCACATGGTTTTTGTTCGCAACTATCACTATAAACTCTGGAGAGCAGCAGCGATAGTGAGTTTGAGAATCTGGTTTACGAAATTTCCAATGCAGCAGTTGCTGCTACAGCGCAATTATTGTCTCAAAAAAAGTTCAGGTACAAAAGCTTTTATGATTTGCTCTCGAAACGGATTGATATGAAGAAATGTAAAACTTTCACAGGGGAAAGAGAGAGAGAGCATAAACTACTATTCTCACTGTCAATGTTTCGCTGTAAACTGGATAGTAACAACCGGAAAAAATATCAGCCATTTTCAATATTAGCTTAAAATAGTTAAATAAATTATATATCAAAATGGCAAACGCCGTAAATGCTTAGAAAAAAATTCCAANCACAGAAAAAAAAGGTTCTTTTTTGAGAAAAAAGTTGAATGGTCAATATGCAGAAATTTTATGGTACCAAATAAAAGTGTGTGTGAAATACCCAAAAGATTACTTTTGTTTTTTTCATTTCGAAAAATAACTCCTAATGAATAAAAAAAAATTGACAATCGTGATTTTCTTCAATTATCTTGAAAACGCCTAATGCGTGTTTCGATTACAGGAAACCGTTTGATCAACCTTGAAATACGCAACTTTTTCGTAATTTAATCGACCTTCCAATTCTGAAGGTCCTCGAAATCCTAATGGTGCCAACTTGAAAAACCAGCCTGCAGAACGAAAAAGAACTGTCTTTCTGTTAACCAGCGGTTGCCCCACTCTCCCTACGAACGACAACACACAAAAGTAAAAACTAGTGCGTACTAAGGATTAACGAGCTCTTACTTTTTAACGTGCGGTTCCTAGCACGGAGAATCCAAAATCTTTCAGTTGGATCGACCTTGAAATACGCAAAAAAAAATTGTAATTCAATCAACCTTCTATTTTGAAGGTTTTCGAAATCCTAATAGTCGCTAACTTGAAAAACCAGCCTGTATAACGTAAAAAAATCTGTTGAAATCTTTCTTTCGTCGTTAACCAGCAATCGCCTACCCCCCACGAACGTCAACCCACAAAAGCCGAAAGTTATGTCAGCTAAGGATTTACGAGGTCGTACTTTTTCAATGTGCGATTCCAAGTACTGTGCGCAGTGAAAACCCGGCTACCGAGTATTATTTTTTATTACGTACTGTCTGCAGTGCGGACTTATAAAGTCACCCCTCTCCTAACTTTGCAACGGAACAAGTTATGAAGGTCGAAGAAAATTTTCTAAAAAAGTTATCATCTTCAGTACTTTCTGATAATAATGACAATAGTGTTGCATCACTCCATTATAATTTTTTTTAATATGGTCTAAAAAATATACAGAGTTCTATTTGAAATTCCATACTTGAAGTACACTTTCGGTTAGACCGAAATAGATTTCTGAAGAACAATACATAATTTCGAATTGTTTACCCAAGAAACAACTGAATGGCACCATGTGCAATGATTTCATTGTCATCGCATATATTATTCTGAGTTGTTAAGGTCAGGTTAGGTTAGGTCCAAAGTGAGTGGGTCTATTCGACTCTCCACCGCAACCCGCAAGGGTTTATTGTGGCTCATACCTATTCACACTCGGCCAAATAAACCCAGATTCTTAACAAAGCCTATCAGTTTGTATGGTGACTGGTCTTTCAGGCCAGATGGTAAGAGTACGGCTCTGCCGAACTCTAAAGACCTGATTCAGTCCCCAGCGGGACAGGCAAAAAGTATATGCTCTGCTGTTTCATCGTTAATGAGGTAGTCGGCTAGTCAAGTTGCAAGATTCCCACCTTGATACTGAGAGTTCAAGTGAAGTCAAGTCAAAAACTTTCATTGAAGTTTTGAGTAATAATTACAATACATTTATATAGGTGTGTTGGGTATGGGGCCCTGCTGTAGGCTTATGCCTCTTCAAGGTTAGTGGGTTGTATGTGTGTGTGTTGTGTTGGTGTATTGTTTTGTTGTTTCCCATTTGAGGGTTTTTGCACGTCAGCTACTATACCTGACAATGCCTCAGATTCAGCCGTGAAGGGCTTTTTCGCCTCTCGTTTTGGTAAATCATCACTTGGGCGCAAACGTTTGCTAACCCTCTCATTGTAGTTGGTTCCTCCACCTGAGACAGATTCTGCGTACGCCGCTCTAAAATTTGGTGCAAGACGGTTTTATAAGGTACCCCGCTCTTGAGGAGACGACTCAGTCGTTTTCTGGCTGCACCACTAAACCTTTTTTTTTAAGGTTCAGTTATTCTGATTTGTTATGACTCGATTCATTTTTGTAATAAATAATCAATGAAATATGTCTTTATGATAGAATATCTAACCAAGCCGACAGTAGGTGCAGCAGAAACTTAAATGAATATATACTCTATACTAATATTATAAATTTGAAAGTTTATGAGAATGGATAAATAAAAGATACGAGGGGGGGAGGGGACTTTTGACTAGCACTGTATACTCTCTATACTAATATTATAAATGTGAAAGTTTGTGAGGATGGAAGAATGTATGTATGTATGTATGTATGTATGTATGTTTGTGGCTCTTTCACGCCTAAACGACTGAACGGATTTTGAAGAAACTTCACATAAATACAGCTCATATATGAGAACAACATATAGGCTACAATTTACAAAGGTCTTGTATAATTTGGTTACTATAACGATGAGTACATAAATACAACTAAATCGGATACTTTATTTACAATGCACATTTTAGAATATTGTCGTTTTGAGTATTCAAAATAGATAAACTTTGCCTTTCACATTAAGTAATTTGGACGAATCGTTTAAAACTTATCACGATAAGATTAACTTGACGCAACGCAGTGAGCCATCACGCGTCGCGTCTACTGTAAGACGACGGTGGAAGATGCGCGGGGTAGAGTGGCGGTCTGAGTAATGAAGCGCCATCGCCGTGAACGCGACCCGAACGTGGGCAAACGTGTAAGGGCAGACGTCGTTGGCGGTTGTGTTAGTTTTGCGAAATTTCTATATAGGTAACATAATTCGATTCTCGAAGCTATTCTTTACTTAGTGCCGTTGACATATTTTTTAGTTACTGTTTTTTCAAACAAATAGTTACAATATTTATTTTTTATTAACCTAAAACTTCAGGTTTCCAACTTCAAAACTAACGAAATTCAATACAATCTTTAAACTCCTATTTTCCCCGTTGGGGTGGAAATTCCTGATTCCCTCTCTTGATGCTCATTTACCCTATACAAAGAACGTACCTGCATATTCCAAGATTTAATTCATTATAATTTCCCGGCAAGTTTGATGACAATAAAAAAATTGTTCCTAATCAGGATCCGACCCAACAATCAAACGTTCATCACGTTTCGCACCAATTGACAGGTGCGATAAGTTGCACATTAACAAAATAACCACAAACACATCCCCCTCCCGAAGAATGGTACTTTTCTTTAATATTTCCACTTGTCCAAAATACCTTCTCTAAATTCTTACTATTACATACCTGTAGGTCATCGTCCAGTTAAAAAAATTCTTTGGTACTGTTAACTTTGGGCTGTTAGTAGGCGCTTCTTGATTGGAGTACACGTAGACTTGATGGGGCGATCTCTTTGTCGGTACCCCATGAAAAAGAGGACTGAACTCGACTCCGTGGAACAATATGGCGTCAAAATCTTCCAAAGACATCATACTTCTGTTGTTGGTAGCAAAACAATTGTTGACGGAACAGTTCTCGAATATTTTCCGCCCAAAACCGAGATTGAAATCCGCTTGGTGGAACATCTCCGTCCAGTACAGAACATACTTGGTCCTGGGGTTCAATCTGGTCCATTTCTCCAGTTTGAGGAGTTTCAGGGAGTACTGGTCTATTATTAGAAGTAGGAACGCCAGTAGAGCGAGCAAGAACACTTGACTTTTCCGCATGCTAGTCGCACATAACTCGACAAATGTTGATGATTTTGTGTGAGTACCTATTTAGCACTTTCCTCGACCAATTATTTCCTTAACCAGCAACGGCGAAACGGTGCTTTATTGTTTACAAATTCACGCTTGATATTTCCACATTCATTGTTCGGCTCGCGAACGTGCTGTAACGATGAACACGGAGGTACCTACAAAAATGATGTTTTAACGCTGATTAGGTAAACAGCAGTACGTTAGCAGTTCATGATTGATATTAGTTTTTGTATGTTTCAGAACGGTCCGCTATAGCCCAGTCAATGATGTATTCAATTCAAATTAAGCACTCAGTAAATGACCCGAATTCCTTAATCTATTGATTTCTAAAAATTCTTGTTTCAAAATCTTCTCTTCTGAATGTAACACATCGTATTAACGATTGAACTCATGTCTTTCTGCTAAAAAGTGGTTTGCAAATGTGAGGGTTCATTAATTTGAAATAACTATCGATCAATCATTTGTTAAATTTACTCACACCCTCACCAAATCAATCTGAGCAGCCTACCAGCACAAGTGATAATTTTCAATGATTTTGAATTCAATTTATAAAATTTGCATTTTCAAAATTGAGGAGCGTGACACAGTATTCTGAATATCAAATTGGCCATATTAGTTTCGACACCATATTGTAATAGATAATTTACTTTTATTTAATCCCAAAGATGCGCACTCGCTCTATGCTCGATGCAGCATTTCATCTTGTTCGGTAGCTGAAAATCATAAATATACAATTAGTATTTTTAAAAGTTTATGACATGGTGTGTATACTTCCTGTTTCGGCATTTTCATACGAAGGAATCTTTTTTACATGGTATACATGCCGTTTCATTGTCTTCTCATCTCATCTCTATTAACAAGGGTTACTTCGTTTCCAACCCGTTTTGTATCTACGTATTCTATAGGGCTGTACCCAGAAGTGAGCTTATGTGGAATCACCATAATTTGTGTAATAACCTTGTCCCCTTTTTTAATGTCACTTTTCTTTACCTGCCGTATTCCATCTTCTTTACTTATACCTTTTTCTTTGTTGATCAAGTCATTATCCTGGGCTTCTTGGTCGATTTCTTCTCCAACGAGGTCAATTACCGAAGGGATTTTGTCTCTTATCCTCCTGTTGAATATCAATTCCGACGGCGATTTTCCAGTTGTTCCATGGGGAGAGTTACATTATGCATTATGATAAATTTCCTGATTTCACTTTTATAGTCTCGTCTATTAGTATAACTTATTTGCAACCTCTTGAGCAAGGATTCATTCATGTTTTCAACTTTTTCATTAGCTTATGACCAATATGGTGGTGTGTATTCTAACTGGATATTGTTTTCTTCGCAAAACTTCTGGAATTCCTTATTAGAGAACTGTCTACCATTTTCTGATCGAATGGACTTCGGGATCCCAAGTTGACAAAATATTTCTTCTAGATGATTGATGATGACAGTAGACGTTGTTGTTTTCAGAAACTTAACAACCAGAACTTGTTCTTGGTTCGGTAGCGGTCCCATGAGATCAATGGCCAGGTATTCCCAGGGACAGTTAGGTAACATGTGCCGAGTCATTGGTGGGGGTTTTTCAGGTCGGCTCACCAACAAACAGTCCTTGCATCGTTTCACAAATTGTTCGACCTGCTTGTCAATTAGGGGCCACTATTCATACCTTGGTCGTAAGTCGACGTTTCATAACCGTTTCGCCTGGGTGGCCTTCATGTGTCAGATTAAGTACCTGGGGCCTCTGCGACGCTGGTATAACGATTTTATTGTTCCTAAGGAGAATTAGTCCGAGGGTTGTCAATTCAAAACAGAAAGGGAAAAAACATTCTTATCAGCCGATTCCCAGCTGTTATCCCTAAGTTTTTTTACTGCGTCTGCCAACTCTAGGTCTATCAGACTCTCCGCTAATATTTCTGTAATTGACATCGATCTTCGGGTGCTCTGTTCGACAATAGAGAATATATGGGGATCACTTTCTTCGTCGGTCGTCCCCATATTATTTAGCTGACATAGTCTTAAAACGGAGTCCGCGATGTATTTCTTTTTCTGCTTGGTAGATTATTTTAAATCTAAGGACTATAGTCGTAGTACACATCGTTCAATGCGAGCTGGAGGCTTCGATGTCGGTTTGAATATCGCTTCTAGTGGTTTGTGGTCGGTAACCAATTCAAATTCTAGTCCTGTTAAAAATAATAAAATCGTTCGACTGCCCAAACCAACGCGAGACTTTCTTTCTCCGTCTGAGAGTAGCGGCGTTCCGTATCCGATAGACCCTTGCTTGCGAATGAAACAACTCTTGGTATGTCGCCTTCGAATTGGAGAAGCACTGCACCTAATGCGAAAGGACTGGCATCAGCTATTAATCGGGTTCTCTTCAACGGGTCGAAATAACTCATAGGAGGTCTCGTCAAAGCGTTTTCGAGTTTTTTGAAATTACTGTAATGCTCCTTCGACCAGATGAATTTGGTATCCCGCCTAGTGAGTTGCCGGAGTGGTTCAGTTGTAGTCGCTAAATCTGGTATGAATTTTCCAAGATGAATAACCAGTCCTAAGAAGCTGTGTACTTCTTTTTTTGACGAAGGGGGTCTGAATTGTAATATCGCTTTGATCTTATTTTGGTCCGCATCTATTCCTTTATGTGATAATTTATGTCCTAGGAAATGTAGCTGCTGAACCTTCGTGATGCATTTTGTTTTGTTCAATAACACGTCATTTTCCTGGAATGTTTCGATAACTTTATTTGGAACGAAGTCGTGTTCCTGTTCCGTATTTCCATAAACGATAATATCATCTAGATAATTGATACAATTTTCGCATTGGGATAGTACATTTTCAAAAATTCTCTGGAAAATTTCAGGCGCTGATGTGACCCCAAACATCAGACGCTTATATCTGAACATTCCCTTATGTGTTATGAATGTTGTAATGGGACGACTTTCTTCATCAAGTTCGATCTGGTGGTAGGCCCATTCTAAATTCGACCGGGAGAAATACTTGGCATTCCGAAGTTTGTCGGGCTCGATGATGTCAGGTTGTGAAGCCTCTTTTATTTTAGTTTCCACCAGTGCTTTAACTGCAACAGACACGCGCCTCAGTGGTTGTTGTACTGGTTTGACCGATCTGTCAATAGTCAGTGATACTTTTACGTTCTTCATTTTTTGAAGAGGTGATATATGCTCTGTTTAATTTACCCTAGTCCCAACTTCAACACGCCCAGTCTCCTCTATCAAATACAAAGAAGGAAGTAACTTTTTCCCGTTCATCTATCGTGCCGACCGTTGTTCGAAACTGGAGTTGAATTTTCAGAGATTGTTGTGCTGCATACAGTTTGAGAGTGTTTCTCGTTTGGAAATCGATATTCCAGACAACTGCTTTTTTGTGTGTGAGTAGTCTCCAATCACGTCCATTAATGATATTTGCTTTCGAACCAGAGTATATGAGGAGGATTATCGACACTCTTTCCACTTTACATTTAATTAGCTCATCCTGTTTCGTTAGCCTTTTAGGGTGTCTAACGTTGTCGATTTTGAAACATTCATAACTCCTGAGGTTATTCCCATCACGCCGATTTTTCTCATCAGACGTTTGCTGATCTAGGTTATCCACACGTGATGATATTTCCCTTTTCCTTTTAAATCCGTTATTACTACCACTATAAGGCTCTTTCCTCTGCTTAGTCTTGAATTTGCTGGCGAAATGACCTATGAGGTTACATTTGTGACACCTACAGTTCTTTGCTGGGCAATTGAAACTTGTCCCAAGGTGGTTTCCTCCGCAAAGGGTACATTCCTGTATCCCTTAGTCCCGTACGGATATCTTGTTGATAGACGTACTCGGCAGATTTATGGTGCCAACGTCTATGGGTCTAGATTGGTCTATTATTTGCTCGTGGACTTGACAAAGGTCAATAATTTCCTTCAATGTTCTTTCCATCTCTAAAAGTTTTTTTTCAGTTCTGAAGGAGCTCGGTGGTCGATTATTTTGTCCTTGATGTTTATCTCCGTTGCTTCATCTGCTGTGTTCCCGAAAGAACATTTCGTCGCCTGCTGTCTCAATCGAATAAGGAATTTATTGAGGGTCTCCCCCTTCCCGGGTTTGATGTTTCTGAAGATATGTCTTTCGAAGGTTGAATTTTGAGGTGGTGAGAAATATTTTGTCAGGGCATCCACCAATATTTTTAACACATCATTATTTGCATCCTCATTGTGCTCAACAACTGCCCCGGGTATGTTATAAGCTACTTCTTGTAATTGAACTCTCCCCAGATGCAATAGTTTGTTTCTTTTCTTGGAGCTATTTTGATTTTGTTCAGAATCAGAATCCAAATACAGCTGGAAAGCCCTCAACCACTTTTGCCATTCAGTTCAAATGGAGGCCTTTTCGATAGTATCGCACAGGAATGGTCTGATTCCGGACTGATTTGACATATTGCGAAGCTGTAACCCAAAACCATTCTCCTGTATCCGTTCTTCAATATGGACAAGTTACAATCAAATGTAACACTCTTTAACTTGAATTTGACTTGTAGACTAGTTACAATTGAATGTAAGACTCTCCAACTTGAATTCAATACTGTAATCAACATACAATTAAATGTAAACAATATGTTGATATCCCTTTGCATGACATTATTTGGTTGATTAATAATGTATAGCAAACGCTTTTACGTCTTGCATACAGGTCTTTTCATCACAAGACGAGCGCAAGCGTATCCGTCATATTGAAATGGCGGTAATTCAAAACATTCGTACTGTTTTAGTCAACAATGGCTGGGCAAGGAATATTATCTCTACAAACAAATAAATTATTGGAAAAAACCATTGATGGTGCTTCACTTGTTTATAATTCAGTTGAGGCTCATAATTGTGAACGATTAAAAATGTGGTTAAAACGTCATGGGCGTCCGCAAAAAGGAAAGAAAGTGAGCTGATAGAGATGTTAGGTATCAGCATTAAGTTGTGCTGACCCACGGTGTGTAATGATACGGCAACACTTCACTTAACACTTTATTCACTTCCCAAAACTAACAATCAAAATCCCAACTTAATCCCCGAGATCTGCACTCGCTCGGTGCTTCATTCATACTCCCCCAGTCGCCTTTGATTATCCAACCTTTCCATGATTCATTCCAAAGCAGTGGTGTCGGTACGCTGCCACACAGTCCATATGTCATTTTAAGACCTCGAGGTCATTTATGAGACGTACTGAGTGTATGGGATACAAAAAGAGATTCGGTTCAGTTCCAAGCACTCCAAACCCTTTACAATCATCTGTCTAGTAAGTGTGATAGCACTTAGCGCCTAGACACGTTATTCAACCTGTTCCCTTTAAAAAAAAGTACTTTGACCCTTGTGAATGAAGTTATCATTATTATTATTATAGAAACATGTCGCAAGAGTAACGTTCATACAACCAAACAGCTCTAAAAGGTCGATATAAGTCAAGCAGTAACCGCTCTAAATGAGATTTTAAAAGTATCCACTGACCATATGTTGAAAATCAATCGAAACAACTCAATAGCTATTATCTTTGGAAATGATAGCATCAGAGAAGAAGTAAAAAACTACAGCTTGGAAATTGGAGACTCTGAGATACAATTTACACCGAACTCAAAAAATTTGGGGTTAATTTTAGATCATAAACTAAGATTTCATGTAGATGTAGATGTCAAGAAAATGCTGTGTGATTCATTAGTTTTATCTCATTTCAACCACTGTAAAATGAGATAAAACTCATCATGTTTCATGTTTAGACAAGAACGACATAGTCGCATACAAAAAGTTCAAAACTCTTGCATCAGGTCAATATTTGGTATCAGAAATCACTCAAATTAGCAGATCTGAAGTGGTTGAATATATTAAATCGTAGACGTTTCCATGCAATATGCATATTCTTTAAAATATTCAAATATAGGAATCCTCCCTATTTATTGTATGAACATTTGTTTTATAGAACAGATATCCATAACCTGAATTTGCGTAAAAATATAGTGTTAAACATGCCTGTACATAAAAAGGAAATATTTAAATGATCTTTTTCCTATAATATCTAAAATATGTTTAAAATAATATTTAAAAGTATGTTTAAACAGCATCTGTTCAGCATTCAGAATAACTAGGTCCACGACGAGATTCCTGAAAAAGGTTTCAACTATTCATATATCTCTATATCTATATATTACCTTCTCTTTTCTTTTTTTCTTTCTTTTTTTCTTGTCTTCAAGCCCTAATAGGATATTTTATTTTTATACATTTTCGGCATTGGTGGAAGAGATGATGTGATCTGAACCAAAAGCCATTTGCACATCAAATACAAAGTGTTTATATTTTTTTTGTCATCTTGTTATTTTGATGGGCAATAAATGTATTATTAGTATTATTTTTTTTACCGTAATATGCGCTGGTCAAGTCCTATCCTCTGAAACCCCGATACATTCGAAAGGACGCGCCAGCATTATCAATCAACGACCAATCAGCACACCGTGGAGTGAGTTATCATTGTGTTCGAGAATCATATGCACTGAGCAAGCGCAGTGAGCCAAGAATGACAGCCTTCTGCATCTGTCCGGCTAAGATTTCTGCCTTACTGCGGCAAGCCGGTATGATTTTAAGATTTGAGAGTAGAGAGGGCATCACTCCACCAAGGACTCCAACTATCAGAACAACCATCTTGACAGAGTGATCTGGATAAAGTCTGCGGAGATCGAAGAGAAAATATCGATATTTTATCCGTTTTTCCTCATCTTTTCTGACGATATTCGTCACGCCAGGAGCAAATAACGTTATTATTATTATTATATAATGTACTTGGGAGTCTGAACTCACTTGTTACTACCAAAACAACTCTCTCAGAGAAAAGCCAAAGAAGCCTGGTGTTGATGTCAGGTCACAAAGTGAAAGCTTGGCAAAAAGAAGCCAGTGAATCTTTTCTTGTAGCTTGAAGTTTCTTTGCAACCAAAAGATGCTTATCGTTAACCTTGACTATATCATATTGTTGAAGACCAATAAGCCGGAAACACGAATCCGCAGTTTCAAATTTTGAATGCTAATGTTCAGACATCATTTTTCTCTTTTCAAAGTACGATTATAATACACAAACCTTTGAATACAAGAATTGTGAGGTAGCACAATTAATAGATACTCACTCACTATTCGATTTTCAATTTCATTTCGATACTGGCCGAATCTCTCTCTATACATTCGAATGAATTAAAGTGTAATCAAGTCTAAAAATATACTAATCTAAATGAATTTCTCACCTTTGACCACATAAAATATAATGCAACATAACAACATTCATTTTGCACTGGATCAGAATATTTTTGCTAGTCGGTATGTGTACAGGCTATTCTGGTGTTTATATTTGCGAAGGAAATTATATAAATAACCAAAGCGCATGAAAAGAATTTGAATGAGAATTTATTTATGGTGAATAGATCGCCAGCGGAAAACCACAGTATGAGTACTGAACATTTTTATAAGCATGTATGTTTACCAGATTCCAGTGTAACGAATATGCCAACGCTATGCTAATTTTATGTACAGATAAGTGTTATTCTATGCGAATGATTGTTTATTAATGTCACTATTATTATTTAGTTTCCAACGATCACTTAGTTCCACCTATATTGGATTTGCGCAGGTTAAGAGAAAATGTCCTACGACATTGCACGATATAGTGCAACCTACCTTCCAACATCTCCTCTTTGCTAATATACACACATCGGAAAAGTCTAGGGATATTTTTATAACATACTAAATATCATAAAAATAAATGCATGAGGTCGTTTAATTTCGATTAAATTGGTACCGGTTTTTAAATTGGCACATGCGCATTGTGAACTGTAAATTCAGGTACTCAATCAAGTACCTGAATGGTATATATTAGCGAATGTAATGAATCATTCTTAGTGCATTGTTCAAGTTTGAAAATGTCCATATAGGACGAAACTGCAGTAACGTTAGTTACAAATAAAAGTGGTAAAAAACATAGAAATTTTCATTTCTCTTTTCATCAAGATAGATGAATCATTTTGCTTATTAGTATACCTACTTTCAATTAGCTTCTATTTCTCTACCTATTGGAGCGAGAGTAAAAATTTCGTAGTTAAAATGTACAAGTGTCACTTTGACATTAATCCGAAATTTACCATTTGATATTTTATAGAGAACCTCAAAGTGAAGAGATTGAAACGAAAATCCCACAAATCGCATACATTAGACCCTGACGAGGACTTCGAATCCTATTTGAGCAACCTGAAAACCAGCCACCAATTAGAGGATAGCGATAAAGGAGAGCAGTTGGCGGTTAATAACGTCACTTTCCTGAGGAAAATGCGTGAAAAATGGAATGAACACAAAGGCAATTGTTACCTAGTGGAAGTACTAACGGGACTCCAGGCATCGATACAAAGCGTATGTGAGAACGTCGTATTGCTGGATAGGGTGGAGTTTTTGAAAGAAAGGGGTATTCATTGTCACATAGAAAAAGTGACTGATGATGTCGTATCCCCGAGATGTTTCGCCCTGGTAGCTTTTAAACATTAATTCATATGTTGAGTAGAAGGACGGCATCAGAAACTCCGGGTATATATGTTCCTCGTGTGAATAAAAAATACATACGATCGAGAATGTTCAGAGTTTTTCTTTTCCTATTTCTATGATTTCACTACTTATTTATCATTACAGGTCTACTCATATCAATATTCAAATTATAATATTCACGTTTGAAATTACTTCTTTGGGTCTCTTTCCATGTAGCTTGTAAATGGCCTAGCTTTGAGTCGAAATTTATCACTATACGAACTTCAAAGAATAAAGTTATATTAATATCATTTCTAGAAACATGTGGATTCGTTTTCCGATGTCCTTTCAGGTTAGCTTCCCAACTTTCTGCTACCGCAGTTGTCGGTTGATTGGTCAAACCACCAACACTGACATAAAAACTTGTCAAGTTGACTTGGGTGTCACACCAATAGGTGGTTCCACTTATGTGTCGCTTGCGTTTACGCAGTTATTTTCATCAAGTACTTTTCTGGTTTTTCACATTTTGTCTAATCGCGTTCGACCTGCCTTTCCTGAAAGACAGAACATTTCAGGTTAGAGTAGAGGGCTCTCTGTCTGACAACAGAGAGATCCTTGCTGGAGTGCCACAGGGGGCCGTGCTCTCTCCCACGCTCTACTCCCTTTACACCAGCGACCTTTCGAGGTCCGAGCATGTGAAGCTATCTCTTTACGCCGACGACACGGCTCTCCTCTCATCTTCCATGGGTCGGGAGCTCGGGATCGTCTTAATGCAANTGAAGAACCTTAGTATAACCAAATTTAAAAGAACATTAAAGGCGTATCTTTTGAGATTTTACTTTTATTCTGTTAGTGAATATGTCACCCATTTTCGAAATCTGTGATATATGTATGTTATATACAATCATTTATTTTTATTAATCTTTTAAAAAAATGTATCAATCTATTGATGTATCTTGAATGACTTGCTACAAACATTTATACTAATGTAACGTAGTTAATAAACTTCACTTTACTTTACTTTAACATGGAAGAGGAGCCGCCACAAGCAGTACTTATACTTCCCTACATCAGAGGATTGTACGAAAGGTTAAAGAAGGATCGGGTCCAAGTATAACATCAGAACCTGCTTCCGATCTAGGAAAACCATATGTAGCAGCCTCACGATAACCAGGCCACCAAACGCGGACTGCGATTCCAACACAAACATCGAGGAGAAACCAGCAAATCCGGGATAGCAGTATATGTTTGGACTCAGCAACATAACATCAATTGGGCTCAAGCTGAAATCATCCACAAGGAGGAACACTGGTTTAGGGGAAAATTCAAAGAAGCCGCATATATGTTGTCCAGCAACGCATTTAGCCAAGCTAGCGTAGAGATACGTAACATATGGAAACCTTTAATCAAGCGGATCGCGACCAACTCCCGCCAAACGGTCAGCTCCCGCTAAATCCAATGAAGCGAAGAGAAGGAAGAGGGAATAGGTGAAAGCACTCGAATGACCTATAAATAGTCAGATCTCGGAGAAATAAGTGCAACAGTCGAAAGGGTAAGGGAGCCAGGCTCCAACCTGTTTAAGCAAAGATGACACGAACAAACACAATAAGTCTAGTTATCACCCGAAGACGATTGTGGATACTAACAATCGAAACGTCGTTGAGTAACTTGGTTTGGAATCTTCTAATTTTCATTTCTTGTTAATAATTTTCAATTTTCAGCTCGTGTTAATAGTTCTATTTTTTTATTTTTTATTTGTTGCTTGTATGTTATTTCATTGTAATTTCAGTTTTTTGCTTAATATAATTGTTATTTTTCAGCTAATCTTTTTAATTTGTTTTTACAGATTCTTTCAGGGATTTCAAATCAATTTATATCATATTAGACAGTGGAAATCCGATCTAATGAAATAAACAACATTCGATTTTCACCTTTCTTGAAATTTGATTTTACTGAGAACGGAAAAAAATACTGTTTTTCATACCATATATTTTTCAAAGTCACAAACCGTGAATATGATTGCAAAGATATCTATGAAATGTAAATCGAGTTGAAGAACTCATGTAACCACTCTGTTAAAAAAATTAGGTGAATTTTCATTTTTCCCAAAAAATATTGGTGCATCAATTTCTATTCCGTCCCATTCAAGCAAGCGTTTTCTCCAGATCTCGAAGCAGTTCTGATATATGCACTTTTGGTATGTCTTGATGTCTCTCAGCGATTCGGTTTTTATCTCCTTAATCGTCGCAAAACGCCATCTTTTCATGGGTCTCTTCAATTTTGGGAACAGAAAAAAGTCGCAGGGGGTCAAATCTGGTGGATACGATGGCTGAGGCATGATTTCGGTGTTGTTTTGGCTAGAAAATTACCAACAAACAATGACGAGTGAGCAAGTACATTATCGTGATGTAAAAGCCATGATTTGTTTTTCCACAATACCGGACGTTTTCTCCGTATTACTTCTCGTAAGCGACACATAACTCCAAGATAATACTCCTTTTCGACCGTATGATCATGTGGTGAGAACTCCTGATGCACTATGCCAAGGTAATCGAGGAAAATAGTGATCAAAACCAAGACCTATCTCCACAATATTTGTTTCAGTGACGAATGTACATTATTTTCAAACGGCAATGTTCACAGACAAAATTGCCGTTATTGGAGTGACACGAACCCTCACGTTTTCCTGGAAACACATACCCAATATCCAGAAGAAATTAACGTTTGGGCAGGAATATTGGGAAACCATATTGTATGACCTCTATTCAAAAATCACAATTAAACAGGGGAAACTGTTTTTGAATATGCTGGAGACTACTGTTGACCCTCTCATCACTGAAATCTTCGAAGCGAATCCTAATGAATTCGATATGGATATGGTATTCCAACAAGATGAAGCAGTATCACATTACTCCAGACAGGTAAGAAACTGTTTAAATACTACCTACCGCCTACCGAATGGCCAGCCCGTTCGCCAGATTTGACACCTTTGGACTTTTTTATGGGGCTATTTGAAGCAAAAGGTGTACGAAACTGAACGCACCCAGTCGCCATCTTGAAAGTTTCATCTGTCAATTTCCCTTCAAAAAATAAAAGGGGGGGCGTTAAAGAAATGCACTGTATACCTACGCCTCTCCCTTCAAACGACTATGAAGAATTATTATATCCAAACACAGAAAATAGTTTGAGACGTTCTGTTGCAAATCAAGTTAATATCTGAGGAGATAGCAATAGCTTTACTTGCTTCCTCATTAAATGCCATGGCCAGGTAATGCCACTCCTCAGTTCTATTCCAGAAAAGACCAAATATATGTGAATAGGTAGAAATATATTTTCTCGAGCTCAAATCATAAGGCTTCTCTTCAATTTACATGCATGTATGTCATTTTCCAATTTTTATTAGAGCAGTTATTTCCAGATTGTTGTGTCTATCGTCGATATCAGCAACATATCGAACATGCAGGAGTAAAAATAACACTGTTGACTGGAAGAAAAACGTGTCTAGATGGAATGATTTACCGGAAATGGATATATTGACAACATGTTCTGGTGGAAATTTTATTGAATTGATAAGGTCTTTTGTTTCGTTCTTTTTGTTATTTTCAAGATAGAATTTATTGTTCAACTTTCATACATTGCCAATATTCATTACAACTCAAAAGATAACATGTGAAATAACTACTTCACCGGCTAATAACACAACGGATATTGAATTATTTCAACTGTATTTATTCCAGTATATTATTTTTTCGCCCAAATTGATATTACTATTTCTGATAAACTTGTATGATATTTCTCTTTAGCACATTATACTACATGGGCTGAAAATTCTCGGGCCTAACACATAGATTGCGCTTTTTCAGTTAGTACTAACCTTCAAAACAAAGCTTTTGAAATTTCATATTATTATCACGAGTTCGTAGTGACACTATTTTTGTTATTTTTAAAACAATGGAACGAAAACAATTTCGTGTTTTAATTTTACACTGCTTCTTGATGGAAAAAAATACCATTCAAGCGAACTAATGGCTTGAACAGTCTTATAACGACACCGCTACATCAGAAACAATAATTAAACGTTGGTTTGCTGACTGGTTAGGTAGGGTTAGGTCTAAAGTGAGTGGGTCTATTCGACCCTTCCCCACAACCCGTGAGGGTTTATTGTGGCTCACACCTATTCACACTCGTCCACATAAACCCAGCTTCTTAACGAAGCCGATTAGTTTGTATGGTGAGTGGTGTTTCAGGTCAGATGGTGAGAGTACGGCTCTGCCGAACTCTAAGAACCTGATTCGGTCCCCAGTGGGGCAGGCACAAAGTATATGCTCTGCTGTTTTATCATTTTCCAAAAAGTTGCGCCACACACTGTCTTCCGACAGTCCAAATCTCTGCATATGATGATTCAAGTAACAGTGGTTAAGAATGCCTGTTAGACATCGTAGTTCATCCCTACTGAAGTCCAACAACTGTTTGCTATTAAGTTTCGAAGGGTGAATAAACGCCTGGAAGATTCTACCAGAAGTCCACAAATCTTCTTGCCATCCAGGTGTTCAATGTTTGTTTGGCAAAGCCTAAAGCGATGTCAATGACAGGTTCTGGTTCGATGAAGCTGCTTGCAGCACCCTCCTTTGCAAGGAAGTCAGCAGCTTCATTGCCTTCCAGGCCAGTATGGCCAGGAATCCAGACCAGAGACAATCTGTTAAGTCTTCCTATTGAGGAGAGTCGTTTTTGGCAATTCGCTACCAATTTGAACGTTGCTCGGTAGGAGCCAAGAGCTACCAACGCCACTTGACTATCCGACTTGTGTGTGAGGTTGGATTTATCCAATCTCTCCGCACACAATTCAATAGCGTAAATTTCCGCTTGAAATACAGTTGCCTAAGTTCCTTGGCAGGTAGATATATCTGTCCTGGGTATGCGACTAAAAACACCTGCACCGGAACCGGAAGGTGTTTTTGATCCATCTGTGAACCAACAACTGTCTGCTCTTAACATTTCCTTTTCCCGAAGGATCCAGTCCTCTCTACTCGGGAATAGTACTTTATAAGGCAGTTCGTATTTGACAGTTGGAGGCATAAAGCCAGTGGTCATTTCTATAATGCTGTGAGTTC